CCCTTTACCGGATAACCGTCTATCCACAACAATCTGTTGGAGATTTTGATCCCTGACTGCGCCGTAGTTTTCTCTTTTTTTTTTTTTTTTTTTTTTCGAGAGAGAGAGATTGGGGGCCACTTTCATTCCATTTGGCGATAATAACCGTGCGGTCTATTCGTCGGAGTAGAAGCTCACAAAAGATGCAAACAGCCCCTTTTTTTTTTTTTTTTTTTCCCCGGACATGCGAGCGGATTGATTCTCATCCGTAGACATTGATCATCTCGATGGCTGACAGCCAGCTGCTGGCACTATCTTATTTCCCCGAATGGAATGTCCAGTCATTTTAGCCGTATTTGGCACAGTTTTCAGTCTAGAGACAGAGATGACGACCGGGCCTAATAAGTCCCATTAGCGTGGGTTTAGTGTTACTTTCGAGTGTCTTCCAGCATTGAGTATTCTTCAACGTGGCCACAGCGCGGCCGTGAGATGTTCAGATCGGATGGCAGGACTCAGTGTGGGCATACTCGGAGCCCAGTGAAATCCTCCGGTAGTGGGACTTCACCCGGGGGCCGAGTCCCACTTACCCCAATTCCCGCAATGCGTGACCGTAGATCACCAAGATCGACGGCCAGAAACGAGCAATCAGCATAAGTGGGACTTAGCCTCTGGCGTTCTATGCGTGTGAACAGGGCAGGGTGCTGAGGGTGGTGAAGTCTCCGCCGCCCTCACAATGCTGTTGGTCAGCGCGCGGCCCCCCCCCACCACCGCGCGCGCGGCCCCACCATAGCATGCATATACAAATAATATATATATTAATATGTATACATCTATATTTATATATTTGTGCCTGTTTGCCCGCGAGCGGATGTGTGTGTTTTGTTGCTCCTCGCTGCTCGCGCGGAAGTCACAGCACCGACGAGCCGCCAAAATAGGGGAAAAAGCGCAGCTGTTAACCCGCCCGGGGGCTAGGTCCCACTTACACGGATTATTAAGCGATTTTGACCGTAGATAGCAGAGATCAACGGCCAGAATCTCTTAATCCGTGCAAGTGGGACCTTGGCCGGGGGCAAGGTCCCATTTGCACGGACTACGAGATTCTGACCGTTGATCTGTGCTATCTACGGTCAATATCGCTTAATAATGCGTGTAAGTGGGACCTAGCGCCCAAAAATTGCTGGATGTGCGACGCGCGCTCAAAACGCGCCGGCCGTTCCCGCCATGTCGATCTCATAAGCCTCGTGCACGGGGCCTGATGAAAATTACTGTAAATAAAAAGAATTGCGTTTTCTCGTGACGAATATGGTCAAAGGCGGCGGGGGGCTGGAGTGGGTTAGCAGAAAGAAAAACGAAAGAAAGCAGAAAAAAGAAAGAAAGACGGGGCCTATACCTTTCTCGCGCTTTTGGCGCCCTTTCGGCAAAGATCAAGGGCCCTTTATTCGCTCCTACTCACCACATGCAGAAAAGACAAAAGACATGACGGCGTATCTTTCCATGTCTCATTTTGCGCATTTGGTGAGCGAGGCGGAAAGGTCGCCAACCCCCCTCCCCCCCCCAAAAAAAAGTGGAGCGAGGCCGCGAGTGTCCTCCCCCCCCAAAAAAGTGGAGCGAGGCCGCAAGTGTAGCATCTCTTGGGCGTGGTGACACTAGCCAAGAGGATCGGACCGAATGCCTGAATCTGGACGAGATCATGGAGATGTGCAGGAAATCGAGATTGAACTGCTTTTCTGCATCTCTGCATAAAACACATCCAGATTCAGGATCTCGATCCTATCCTTGTTTCTAGTGGGACCTCGGCCCTTGTGATCAGTTCAATATCTGATCCGAAAAAAAAAAAAACAATCTGATCCGTGGTCCATCGGACCCCATATATATATATATAAAAAAAGGCGGACCTGTTGTATAGGGAATGGGATTTTTTTTTTTTTTTTGTTTTGTTGGGAAATGGGATTTTCGTAGGAAGTTAAGGGAAGCTGCCGAGCGGAGTTCCCGCTCCCTGACCGATGTAGCGGAGAAGTAATTAAAACAGTAAAAATAGTAAAGTAATTAAATTACAGCAAAACGTGAAGAATAGCATAAAAAAAGAGAAAAAGAAAAAAAAAAGAGCGCCTGGAGCTTCACGGGCTATCTTTCCTATGATGGAAAGCTGCCACCTTTTGGATTTTTTTTTTTTTACCTTTTGGATTTCAATTGTCAGGTTTCTCATATAATATACTATGGGAATGGGAATATGAATTTATTTTGAAAAATTGAATATAGCAAATTCCGCGCCTGCCTCTCCCCTCGTTCTCCGACTGTCTGCTGAGGGAAAGCCGTGTGGCCGCGCTTCCGTTCCGCCGTGTGGCGCTGCTCCCCCAACCTCCCTCCCCCCGCCCTGCTTACAAACCGCCTTCCCCCGGCTTCCGCTGCCACTTCCGCCAGTTCCCACAAGCGGGTTTTAGGGGCGGAAGTTATGGCAGGCCACCTAACCGGCGGGAGCAGAAAACACGGGCGTGCGCGGGATTGTATACATACCCAATTGAAAGGAAGATAGAAATTCCCAATTACATTCTCCTCCCCCCCCCCCCCCCCCCCCTTCCTCGCCGCCTTCCTCGCCCTCCTTATATATCCCTTCCCCTCGCTCCGCTACTATTCCGATTCCTGCGCTGTGCCTGCGAAACCTGACCAGCCCATTAACGAACGAGACGTTGTTGGACCTGATGATAGCCAGGGGCCAAGTCCACTAGCAGCGTTGAGCTACCTCAACGCCCGAATCTGGACGTGTTTGTGGAGACGTGCAGTTCAGGAAACTCAACACCATTTCTGCACGTCTCCGCAAAAGCGTCCAGATTCGGGCGTTGAGGTAGCTAAACGCTGCTAGCGGGACTTGGCCCCTGGGTAACAATACGAAGGCTTCCCGTATCGTTCCTTACTTAATTTCATGTGTGAAATTAGAAAGTATCTACAAAAACAGCAAGTTTGTTAAAAATCTCCCCCGTGTGGTACTGCCGCCGGCGGCTTAAATGAAGGAGCTGAAGAGCATATTGTCAATAAGAATAAAAGTTGGGCAACCTCCATTGCTAGTACTTCCCCCCCACCCCAAAAAAAAAAAAAAAAAAAAAGTGACTACCAACGCACAGAATGTAACATGCAGTCTTACATCTCCTTGCTTGCCTGGGAATTAGGAGGACGAGGGCTATGTGCCGCTCGCACGGATACGGAGATACTGGCTGTAGATCATCAAGATCGACGGCTGGAGAGAGAGAGAGAGAGAGAGAGAGAGAGAGAGAGAGAGAGAGAGAGAGAGAGAGAGGTGAACAAAATAGAATCAACGGCTGGTAAACAAGTGGACTTGGGACTTGAAAGCCCTGGGACCACCACCGATCTCGGAGCACCGCAGTTGAATATGGAGAGTTGTTGTCCTGCCCAACCCGTTGCACGATTCCCATTGCTCTCTCTCCTCATGTCCCCACCCCCCACCCCCCACCCCCCACCCATCCCGCAATACACCCTCCGGGCTCCGCTCGCCAATCGCCCTCACCCCACGCCGGCTCTTCCGTCCCCTTTTTTCTCTGATCCCCTTTTCATTAAGAATTTCAGAGACATGAAGTGAGCCATGGAGAAGGGAGGCGGCGGGGGTTGCGCACAGACTTCGTGGGTGTGTTGGGTGGGTGGGTGGGCCCCTGGGGAGGGGGGGAGGGGGGTAGGGCGGCGCACGGCGAGGATTAGCGGGGAGGGGGGTTGTTGGAAGGAGAACGAGACGGTAAAGGAGATAAGGTGCCCGCAATCAACGCCGTTTTGTCCCTTCTTCGCCCTTCGGCCGACTCTGTCTGCTGTCCTTGACAGTTGTCGCTATTGAATTTCCCTTGCTTAATTGGTGTTTTTTTTTTTTTTTTT